TTTTCAATCTCTGAAGGGTCTACAAGGGAGCCGTGAGACTCTTTGTTAGAAATGATAGGACAAGGGGTAATGGGTTCAAACTGAAGGAGGGGAAAGTTTAGGCTAGATAACAGATATAAGATTTTTACTGTAAAGGAGGTGCGATACTGGAAGAGGTTGCCCAGGGAGGCTGTGACTGCCTTGATCCTGGCAGTCTTCAAAGTCAGGCTTGATGAGGCCTTGAGCAACCTGGTCTGGTGGAGAGGTGTCCCTGCCCATGGCAGGGGGTTGGGGCTGGATGATCTGTAAGGTCTATTCCAACACCTAAAATTCTATTAAGTTCTATGATTCTAAGTGATGCAGGTCACTCAAAAATAAAAGGTGGAAGCTCAAAGCACATGCTTGAGAACTGGAGAAGGAAGCCCATGCAGTTAAAATGGTGAAGAATACAGCTACTAAGTGTGTTTCTGTGTGAGGAAAACAGAATCAAGCTCCAGCAGGTGAAGCAAAATAACCCCACAAGCCAGCAAGTTCAACAAAAGCACCAGGAGTCTCTTGTGAAGGCACAGAAAACAACGAAACCATCTTCAACCATCTGAAGAAGCCAGTCAGACTACCTGGGGTGGAACGAGATGATATTTAAGGTTGTTTCCTACCCAAACCATTCTATGGTTCATTAGTGTCACAGTATGGGAAACAGGAAGGAACAGCAAAAAGGCAAATGCAACCTAGCTGAGTGAAGGACAGAAGTGCCAAAGTAAACACAGGCCTAGCTGCCACAGGCACAAACAGGTAAGACCAGCAGCAGCAGCAATCTGACACACCCAGTTCTGCTTCCCAAAGGATACTGTACAGCTTTCGATCCTTGGACTCCGACCGCATGCGGCTCAGCTGCTGCTTATGGCAGCGCAGACTCCAGGGGTTATAACTGATCTTCTCAGAGCTCAGACCACTGTTCCCATCCAACATCTGAAATGGAACATCTGAATGGATGTGCAAGTCCACCCTGGGACTCTTCATTTCCTGGATGCTGCTGGTGTAAAGACAGAACACACTTGCCTGTTAGAACCCAGGAGTTCTCCAGGTACTTAGAACTATCACATCCTCCCTTTGCACACAACCACCTCCTGTTCCTTCTCTTGCTGCACACAATACAAACCTTAAGAGAAAATCCTCACTAATACCCTGGGCTTTGGACCCACATTGGAGGACCTGGTCTATTTAAGATCTCAGCCAGGCTGTACTCTAACCGATAGAGTGATCAGGAACACTTGTTTCCCAGGGACCTCTGGCTGGTGTGAAAAGGCAGAGACGCATATTCAAAGTAGCCTTGGAAGAAACCTCTGGGTTAATAACCATGTGGACTGAAGAGTGCTCAAATCCACTCCACGTGCTTCGGTTCCATATCTGATACACTGCCAAGCGTTAGCCTGTGTCACAAGCATTTCATGTGGATGAGTTGGTCCTGAACCCAGCAAAACTCCTGACACAGTTTGCAGTGCCACAATGTGCTGGGCTAGCAAGTGCACAACAGCCTCATCACTGTACTGAAGTGCAAAATACCCTCAAAGCGAACACCAGAGAGGAAAGGGGAGGAGAGATCTCCTGCCCATCATGTTATCACTGGGCCCTCAAAGCTTTACCTTTCAGTGCTGTTACTGGCCAGGCCAGGCTTCTCCTCCTTGTGCTCAGTGCCACTGCTTGACCTGTGAAGGCTCCGCCGTGAGTGCTTGCGCCGTGGCTGGTCCCTCTCCGGCGTATCATCTTGCTCCAGAGCTTCATTCTCCACGTAGGGATAGGCCACCAGGTTAATGTAGCCATCACTGTCTCCCTCAAAACAGACAGATACTACACCTGCCAGGGCGAAGTGACACATCAGTTCTGATTCCCAAAGGAGGGAATACACAACCACTAGCATCCAAATGT